ATTACAACCACCGCCCCTGAGGTATAGTTAATTTATGAAAAAATCCCTCTTGTTTAGATAATTACATCTACCCCTCAACTATATTTTTTTTACACCTCTACCTTTATGATGTCAAATTCGACATAATCATCTAAATTTCGTGGAATGTGCTCTAGTTTGTACTCGTTTTGTGTAAAAATACAGTTTTTGATGCACTACAATCTGATATATACAACAAAAGACACATATTATGATCATCTTGTTTGAAAATGTTGAGTTTGAATGGGATTAAAGGGGTATAAAAGTGATAATATTCCACATAATCTTGAAGATTCCAGTAAGTTTGAAACCACAAGAATAGACGTGTAAAAAGATTTATAGTTGAGGAAATAGTTGTAATTACCCAACAGGAGAGGTTTTTTCATAATTTAACCATACATCAAGGATGGTTGTAATTTACCCTATATTTTATAATTTCTAGTTGTAAATGTTGAGTAAATCTAATATTTTATCAAATAGTGCATATTAGGTGAAATTATAGTCAGAAGATTGGGTTGTTGTATAGCATAAGCAGAACGATCAAATTATTGTTGCACCAACACTTACGAGAATATATTCATTGAGTTAAAAACATAAATTATAAATTTTATACGTACAAAAATGTCTTTATTGAAGATATTAATATTAAATGATAGATTTCACTAACAGCTTAATCTTGTAGTTGAGATGGTCATTTAACATAGTAATTTCCAAAAGGAAAAGGTCTTGATTTCGAATCTCACTATCACACATTTCAAATATTTCAAGTGCAAGGTTTTAAATGTAACTTTCAAATATTTCAAGTGCAAGGTTTTAAATGTAATTCGCATTTTTTTGCTGAGATGGTTATTCTAACATTCTTTTCATATCCCCTATGCTTTTATAAAATTTAAATTCATTTATTACTAAATTTGTGAAAGTCAATTATACCATTATTCATAAAATCATTTAACTACCCGTCCAAAAAAGCATGTTGTAGAATTTGAACTTGTAATCCTTTAAAGGGTTCAATAATACTTATCGTTGAGCCACAACACGTTATTAGAAATTATCTAACAATAAGCATATATAACACAACCTAAAATGTATAATGATTTAAAACTTATATAAATAATGTTAAATAAATTATTAATTCTCATATAAGTATTGTAAACGTTGCATCTATGTATGTTATCTTTCTAAAGGCAAAAATTAACGGTAATACTAAAAAAATGTGAAAGGTGTTATTTAAGAAGAATACAGATTATGTGTAAAGGTAGAATAAAAAAAGGTTACTTCTGCGGGGATAGGATTGGCAATTTTGGGGCAATATTCCAAGGAATCGAAAAGATTATGTGCAAAATTTACACCCTAAAGGGCCGGTATAAGACGGAAACAAACATCGAGAGGATTTTAATAATTACGGATAGATGGAGTGTGTTTAGTAATATAGCCTAAGTTTAGAGGTTTTTTTGTCATTTACCCAATTTCATAATATTGAGGCGTGCATGCAAAATTACATTTTCCACCTACACCATTTTGAAATATTAATTATTAATATCGTTCCTCATAAAAAAATAAATTAATTAAAATTAAGATTCCTAAATGTATAGCTCTATTATTAATCAAAATCCATGTTAGCGAGTTCCAACCTTTTGATCTACAGTCTACGTCACGTTAGATAAATTTGTTTAGTTTTTTAAAAACAAATCCCGAAACAATTTCAAAAATTTATCCCACCTCCAAAACATGATTAGACTGCTACAATAAAAAGATTTAACTGGTATTTACTAAAAAAATCGATTACTAGTTACAGTAAAAATATATTTTTCAAAATTTTCTTCTAAAATACATTTTTCTATACAGTATATTTTGCATCATCTGAAAATTATAAATAAATATTACTTTCATTCTTAAATTATCCACTCACAACATATTTTCCCGAAATAAAACGAAAATAACCCCAACAACAATTCCAAACATTGCATAATTAATTAACTCACTAGTAACCCTAATGCTACACTTTTTCCCTTGTTAGTGTGTGTTTTGTAGTATTAACATGTTACAAAAACAAGAACCACAGAATATAGAATATAATAGACAAAGTGTGTAAGATACAACCTATATATATTTTCTAGAAAACACGAGAAAAAAAAAAGGCGCGATCGAGCGGATTAAAGCTAAAAGACCGATAGTCGATTGAGTAGTAATTAAAATCCTCGTCAAAATTAAAGATTCGAAAAGCCAAAGAATGGAATCTATTGTGTATCTAAAGTTACAATTATATTACAGTGTCTACCACCATATGCCTTGAATCTTGATCAACTGCACCAATAATAATTTGAAGAAAAAAAAAATATTTAGTTAGAATTAGGAACCTAAAGGGTGAGCAGCCCTGCAAATTTATACATACATTTAGCAAGAAAAGTAAGTGTGTGTGTGTGTGTGTGTGTGTGTGTGTGTGTGTGTGTGTGTGTGTGTGTGTGTGTGTGTGTGTGTGTGTGTGTGTGTGTGTGTGTGTGTGTGTGTGTGTGTGTGTGTGTGTGTGTGTGTGTGTGTGTGTGAAAATGTGAATATTCTTGGTGTTTTTTTGTATCTAATGTTTATTTTATGCACATAAAAATAGTGGTTTTCATAAATTTGAACCAATCGGTGTGTCTAACCTATTCAAGGTACAAAGATTGATTTTGTAATAGCAAAGCAAAGATCAACGTAGGGATATAAAGAAAAAAAAATACATTACTTTGGAAGGATCTAATCGTAAATTTAATTTTACTATTAATTACTGTTCAATGTAGGGGTATAAATGAATCGAGCCAGTATGTTGGCTTGACAAAAGAACGAACTCGACCTCAAATTTTTTCGAGCTCAAGTTTTCTAACATGTCAAGTCTGAGCTCATTCTTAGGTTCTTGAGCTCGCAAGCCGGCTCGCAACTTTTTTCTTTTTAATTTTTTTTAATTTTAAATATGATTAATATAAAATAAATGATAAATTAATCAAATTAAAGTAAATAAAAAAAAATTACAGGTCGATTTTTATTTAAAATTTGTTATTATAATTTATAATAATAGAATTCTAATAATATTAATAAATAAATAAACACTAAATGGCTCAGGCTCGACGACAAGCTCGATCCGCTCGCTCAATAACAAATACTCGAAGAGCTTGGACTCGAGCTTGCGAAAACAGTCAGCCTCGCCTCGTTTACACCGCTAGTGCAATGTCTATAGGTCAAATGAGTTGACCCTCAAGATCCATAAAGGATCCCAAAATTAATAAATTGCATCATCTTCCATACATTTTTATTATTCTTCACAAAAGAAATATTTTTTTTTGCAAAAAAAATAAAAAAAAAATGGAGACAATGCAATATATA